GGACCGCGCTCCGGGGGACGCGCTCCGGGGGTCGCACTCCCAGGGGACGCGTTACACTGGGTACGTCGGACGTACCTAGCGGACCATCCCCTCCGCTGCCGGGACCAATCTGGATTGTGGAATCGATCAAATTAGATAGACTTGATCGATTTGATTCAATATTATATAAATAAAGAAGGTGACAGCCCAAGTGAATCCGGGAAATTCCAAGTCGCTCGACGTTGCCTCTGACTGACCCCGACAGGTCCTCTCCTCTCCTTTTCTCTCGTGGGGCAAATAAAAAGGGTAAAATAATAGGTCTTTTTTTTAAAAAAAACGGGAAAATTTACAACTTTATTCATCAAGTAGATGATAATCATCAAACAAATTTATGTAATGAATACAAAAAAAAGTAAGTGTATTTTATTTAGAAGTGTACGGGGGACGTATGAGGTTGTATGGGATCCCAGCAGCGCATGGGGTAAACTCTTGTCCCAGATGTCTTGTTGTTGACATTTGGCTCTCGTCATCCTTCGTCGAAACTAAAACGTCGTATCCGGAACGTGTCATAAATAAGTCAAATGTATTTTTTTCCCATTGCACCCTGTTAACCTCCGTAGAGACATAGCAATCACGCTATACCCTCCTCCCTGGCGACCGTTCGACGACGGCGCGGAGGCGGCATTGAACAATAAAAATCGACAGAAGATCGGAACTTAGTCAGACAAAACACGAGATAACAAGGTTGGAATGTGATGAATCGGTCAGACTTCAGCTTAAAATTAAGTGTGTCACAAAACGGACGTCGGACGGAACTCACGCACGGTGCCAGAGGGCCTCAGCTGCTGTGCGCAGTTCTCCACGCAGTTCTCCGCTCAGTTCTCCGCGCACCCCCCGCAAGAGTGAGAGAGAGGTGACAAGGGGAGCACGTCTGTAACCCGACACCGTGCAATGAATCGACATCTGACCAATCACGGCTTTGATACGGCCACTAGTGCAGGTGAAGAGATGTCGGTGAAAAGACAGTTTCGGTCCGGCGCAAGCAAGAGGGAAAAAAACAAAACATGAAGAAACTAGAGCATCACTCGAAGGTGGGTTATTGTATGAGTCAAATGTACAACTTGCGAATGTTGTATAAGTCAAATTGCCAATTGCCATATTAAAACATCAGCTGCAATTCACGACATGAAGAAGGCAGTCTCTGCATAGCATATAGGCTGATGGAGATGCAGTTATTTCCAGCATTCTTTATTTACCATTCATTCAAGTATCGTATGCCTTTTATCTGCTAATGTACAGGAGGAAGAGTGATAAACTGTGTGTCTAGTTGGCTTACATAACAGTTAAAGTTTACAGCCTAAAAAACATGTAGCATTTTTTCCCCTTTTATTCATTTTTATGTCAATTTGCACATTTCATGGTGGTGCTCATTCTCTCCCCTTAACTCCTAACAGTCATCATCATGTCAACCACAACACAGAGAAATACTGATAGAAATGTGTGTGTAGCTGTTGATACATTGCTGACAGAGGGAACTTCATTTGAATACAGATTTAAGAAATATCCGTTTTTGTCATAAGCATGTTTTGTCTTGACTATATTACAACTATATTATAATAAAATAATATAGTATTTATATTATTGAATTGATTATGATTATGATTATTATTATTAGTAGAAGTAGTTTATTTGCATTAATTATATTTTAATCTTTTTGAGGCTAGTATTTGGCAGGAAATGCAGACGTATTCACCTGTAAACGCATACTGAACGACATGCAGCCACATTTACCATTTACCTCACTGTATAAAAAAGTAACTGTGTTAAAATATAATAATAATAAACAGGAATTACATTTGAAAGTAGCCTACTTTGTTTCCAAAACATTTTTTTTTACTCCTGTCAGTTGGGGGGGGGAGGGCCCATCTCACAATGTCGCTTGGGGCCCCAAATTGGCCAGGGGCGGCCCTGCTCAAGACCCATCTGTTTACTAAGGCCTTTGGCCCCTAATCTATTTGTTATTTTGTCTGTCTGACTGCATTTGTTTTTGTTATGTTTGTTTTGCCCATGTTCTTCTTTGTAAAGCGACCTTGGGCCTCATGAAAGGCGCTATATAAATCCAAGCTATTATTATTATTATTAATAAACAATGCAAATGATGCTTCTAATGACACAAGGAATGTACAGGGAATGTATGCTTGCGCGTAATTGATAAGCCCCTGCAGAGCGAAAATAAATATGTCAACACAGTGACAGGTATGTTATTATATCTTTATATTGAGTCACATTATAATGACTAATGATAGGCATATTATCATTTTGACATGATCCTATTAACTCTGATGCTTACCTGCTCCAGTTGCTGATGTGCTTTTATAGCATTTGCCTCCCTCTCTGAGTTCTCCTCTGCTTTTTTCAGGATATTCTGTGTGAGAAACAAAGTCACATTAAGAAAACAAAACATTTCAGCAGTGGCACCAAACAATTTATTTATTACTGCAAAATAACGTGTTAGAATTTATCTAAACTCACTGCTCAATCTTGCAATTTTACTTTGTAGTTTCTCTTTGTATAAAGTGTCTACTGCTGTTAGAACACTCACCTGAACAAGCATCTTGAGCCGTGTGATCCTCTGGAAGGGAAGGATTAGGAAGGAGGTGAAGGACAGGCCCCTGACACAGGGGTGGTTCTCCAGAGCAGCCATGGCATCACGGAACGCCTGGTTTCCCTCTCTGCAGTCAGGTTAAGACAACACAATGCTTTCTTTAAAATACAGCTGCATTACAAACTCACACACTCTTTCTCCTCTTTGTTGTGTTGACAAGAAATAGAAAAGGAAGCTATCACGGTAACCCAGGTCAGAGATCACACTGGCGTTAAGGGGTTTTCATACTAACATGATGCCGTTATGTGTATATATATATATATATATATATATATATATATATATATGGCATTGTATGTGTGTGTGTGTGTGTGTGTGTGTGTGTGTGTGTGAGTGTGTAACCGTGTGGGTATACATGTACATGTGTATATCTGAGGGTGTATCATGGGTATATATACAGTAAGTGTACAAATGTGTGATTATTTGTATGTATTTATGTGTATATGTGTTTGTGTATGTGTGTTTATATGTTTGTTTATGTATGTGTGTGTATATGTTTGTTTATGTGTGTGTATATACAGTATACAGTATGTTTGGATATGTCTGTGTATATATGTGTGGATATGTGTGTTTTCATGTCTTTGTTCATGAATGTGTATGTGTGTATATGTGGTTTTGAGTTTGTTTATATGTCTGTATGTATATATGTGTGTATGTATATATATATATACTGTATATATATATATATATCTGTGTATCTGTGTGTAAATGTGTGTGTATGTTTATGAGTGTGTATATGTTTGTGTACATATGTGTGTGTGTATGTGTGTAAATGTAAATCTATATGTTTGTGTAAATCAAGCTGATATCTAGGCATCCTTATCATGATATTGTTTATACTTCTGTTCCATTGGGGACTGCCCAATATTTCAAAACCAAAATAGTCAAACAAATGTCCCATTTAACTAACTCCAACACAACGACACTCATTGTAACCTGCTAATTGCAGTTTTGTTTTACCTTTTTAGTTGAACCACTTAAATATGCATTAGGTAAGCATGTGCTCCCTTAAGTGAAAAAAGGGTTGCTCCCTTACCTCTAATAGTAAATATGAAGTAAAGGAGCTAATCATCTTTGCTTTAAGTCATGCAGTCTGGAAATAATCTGTCCTGGATTGCTGGAATCTACCATTCTGTATGAGGAAGGACCATGCTTTACAAATTGAGAGGGAGGGAAAAATCTCTTCTCTTCTCAAGCATCAAAACAAAATGAGTCATGGGGTTTATGCACAGTTCTGATACAACTAACATTTCTACATGTGACAAGTAAGTAGGCTTGTCACTCCTTATGCCAACACAATTGCCATCGCACGCCTGTAAAAAACCCTTCTGAATGTGCTTGAAACATGTTGTGTAAACAGATGAATCTCCAAGATTTTAGATCATGAACGAGTTACAGGCTGTTTAATGTTCATATTAAAAATGTAAACCCTGAAAAACCCTAACCAACAGGTGTCAGAGTTTCTTCCAGTAACTGGCAGAGGTCCATTTGGTTTCACTGCAGCGCGTGGGAACGCTGAACTCTCACTCAGATATGTGTGGTTGATGAAGAGGGACATACGCATTATAGTCACCACACCCTTAACATCACATTTCTTATGATAAAAAACAAACCTGTTATAAAAATACGGACTAACAACATTCATAGACATAAAGAAACAAATAAGATGACTATTATTCTTTCTCTCAATTACTCTAGTCATGTATTCCTCATCAGTAATAAAACAGGCCACAGTATTGTTTTGAGCAGAGCCCTTCAGTTATTATTATTTTCTGTTTTCAAAAGAGAAAAATACTGTCCAATATTTAAAAAAAATACCATATATCGGTCAAAACCACCAAGAAACTGCTACCCAACTCATTGAAAGTTTATAAGGAAGGCTTGGTCCACTATAGCGACAGCAGGAAACAAAATCGCTGAGAGGCTGAGGCCGGGCCTGTTTGATATTGTGTGACACGCTACAAAAAAGTACTTGTTGAAATCAAAAACTCTGTTGCAAAATAATGTACTTTAATGAAAACTGGGATCCTTGGACATGTACATTGTTATATTAATCGAAGCAATAATTTCAACTGGCGGTCAACAAAAAAGTACAACGGCCCTGTGTCACCCTCTCTTCCACCCACACCTCACGCAGGTGAACAGGATTATAATGGGTGCCGCCCATATCCATGTGACCCAAGCTAACCAATCAATAGAGATCAAACAAATATCTTATATTAAAACATAAAGGATTACTAAACACGTTTCATGGCTCCTACAGTCCACATTGTAACTAATAATTAACTGGGTACTCACAAAAGGCGCCTGTAGTTCTTCTCCTGGTACACTTGGTTGATGACGTATTTGATGAAGACATTGAAGTGTTCCACAGCATGGAAGAAAACAATGTCACACACATCAGAGATCAAAATTGACTTCTCCATTCGGTGCTCAAGATCCATCAGGAACCTGAAGATATTAAGAGACGGTTATCGTGGAATAGGAAGCCAAAGTTTGTAATCTGGGTTAGTGTTTGTTGTTTCATCAGACTTCATATATCAAACTCATTTTAATCAAGACCATGTCCTACCTTTCACTGGCTTTCATGACTTCCTCGATGTTGGAGAACAGGAAATGCATGTCAGATTGGCTGAGAGAGTTGATTAAAACTGGGTTACGCAGGAAGTGAGCCTCTAAAACTTCCAAACTCTTGTAGTACGATGCTTCTGAAGTTACAAGCTCAAACATGGCCTTGACAGAAAAGAAAAATCATAAGGCCACATTAATACTAACCAAGTGAACAATTGATATGATGACATGATAAAGAAGGATGTTTTTCTTTTCTTTTCATTTTACTAATTTTCATTGAGAAACTACCAGATATTAATGATGGTTGTTTAATATGGTACTTATGTGTTGAGGTAATCCATGTGGGTCCTCAATCTGTTTACATGAATATTCATAAAGGATGTATTGCACTGTTATTTGGGAGCAAGGCATCTGCCCGTCCATGTGTTTGTTTCTCTTGTAATTATCACGTTTAGCCATGCTAGCATCTTGGCTCTATGTTTGGCAATGTCAGTCTGTCGCCCCTCTGTCCAGCAATTCTATCCAGACTGACACATCTCAGCAACTATTAAATGGACATTTGTTGACATTCATGGTCCCCAGACCATGAAGTCCACTTTATTTGTTCCTTGAGTCTAGTGCCACAGTAAGGATGACATGTTTGTGTTATAGTGAAACATCTCATCATGTAGGTGATGGATTGCCTTCAGATTTGGTAAAAACATGCATGGCCGCTAGAGGATGCTCCTTATGATTTTAAAGACTCAACTCAGCCTGTGAATTACTAATTTAATAATGGCACAGAATTGTGTGCAGACATTCTTGGTCTCCAGAGGATGTGACTTTCCATAATGTTTTCCTCTAGCTCCAACATGGGGTTTGTATTTGTAGTGAGGGGAAATGTCCCGACATGAAGGGTCAGGTCAACATTTGATTCCGTCCAATGCTTTAGTTAATGACCAAATACTAAAATGAATGCCTGTATGCTCACTCTTGACCACAGTATTCAAAATTAACGTTTGTTCCTATCCATATAACCCTGTTCCCTATTTGCTCACCTCTTGCATTATGATTTCTTTCTGCAGTAGCTGGGTGAGCAGACCGCTGGCCTGCACCACGTCTAGGTTCTGCCACAGGCTCATTGAGCGAGCACTTCTCCTCAGCTGGAGCTGTAACACTGGGGGACACACCATACCGGACCCTTCCACCACAGTCCCTGCAGAGACCCGGGGGGAAAGGTTCTCAAGCTGCCGCCGCTGCTCGATCTCCTGCTGCTTGGACGTGTCCCGGTATTCCTGGTATAGGAAGGCTGGAGAAACAAATTACAATGAGTCAGGCGTCAGCTTATAATTGGGCTGGATTACCACTCGAAATAGTAAAATAATGATAAATAGAATTACTAAGGAGGAATTTGTATGATATGTATTACTTCAGAACTACTGTACCCAGATTTAAATTACCAACAGATCCATGCTTTTTTTCTGTTGCCAACAGGCGGATTTTTACCTTTCTGTCATGGCGACTGGTAACAATGTGATGATATAAGTGTTCTGTAATGGGCTTATAACAACATAATATCATAACAGAAGTGTGGCTTTTGTGCATACAATATTTTTTAATAGTAATTATAGTAGGATCCAAAATAAATGGGTGGGTGAAAAGTTACATCTTTATATATATTTAATATCCACTTCGATAAATACAAAGCAACCATCAGATAGTTCGGTGATCGTTTGTGTCCACTGCAAATACGTTTTTTTTGTAGGCCCACCCAGGAGTTAGCATCACAAGGGATCGCTCGACAAAAAGCTAAAAAGCTAACAGAAACTACCCGAGGCTAACAGACAAAACCAGAAGGACACAAGTGACGGCTCAAAAGGTCAGCAATGTTGCTAGCATTGAATTTTGTGGAGAAGAATGTTTATAATACATTCTGCGACTTCATATTTCAATGCATGGTTGGCAACATGTGATTGTAGATTTGCTTTAGTTTATTCAACTGCAAGTAAAACACTTGCAGATAAGAAAAGCTTCACTATTTGGAGGGAACATTCGCAATGTGTATATGAAGAGGCAAGGTGACTTTGAACAACACAGGCCTGTTGCATAATCTCCCTCAGTCATATACTGCAGATTGCTTTGGTGGGCGTAGAACTGGACTAAGACTTACATAAGAGAGAGTGAAATGTGCATAGATATGAACAGTATCTGTACAAAATATCTGTAAACCAAAACTGTTTGTTGAGATTTTGATTTGTTTACCATACTACTCGTGCGGGTAAGCTGCCGTCTTGAGTAAATTTGTATAAATCTATGCAAATAACCATTATCCTGTGTACACAGCGAACAACACAACTCAGAGAGGCACTCAACCCTCCTGAACGAGTCCCTGATAGGCAGCAGCAGACACAGCTCAGTGGAGCTGCTGAAAACCTTATCAAGTTGTCTATGAGAGAGTTGTGTTTGCACGTGTACAGGTGTGTGTGTGTGTGTGTGTGTGTGTGTGTGTGTGTGTGTGTGTGTGTGTGTGTGTGTGTGTGTGTGTGTGTGTGTGTGTGTGTGTGTGTGTGTGTGTGTGTGTGATTTACCAATGTTCAGTCTTAGTCCTATAATAAATTCACAAATAAAAGAGAGAGGTGGTAAAGTGGGTGGAATATATATATATATCTTTATGAGTCTTTCCTCACCAATGTTTTTGACGATGTTGAGGCTGTGGCAGATTGTCTGGGGGCCTTCTCCATTGCTGGGTACCCTGAAAGGGAAAAAAAAGTCATGCTACCAAAAAAATTACCTTCCAGTTAGGTGTGACAAAAAAAATCGGAATTAATAATGTATCCGTTATCTGTTTACCATATCCTAAATAATTTGTTTGTTTTTTCAGC